TTCAAATGCGTGTGTGTGTATTGTTGACACCTCTAATGTTCTTGTTTATTGGTAAAGTGTGTATGTATGTATGAAAATGTCAAATTATTCGATACCCGGATTTGTCTGGCTGTGTGTGTGTGTCTGGTGTTTTATTTCCATTTGATTTTAGTCTAGGTTTTTTTTTTTTTTTTTTCCCTCCAATGGTTAGACTTATTATCGATTCATTCGAAACATAAACCAAAATCATAATATATAGAAATTGACCAATAAAATATTCATTTGAAAACCATTCATTCAAGTTTTCATTGTTGTCGTCGTTGTTGTTGTTGTTGTTGTTGTCCATATATGATTGTTTCAAACGAATGAATCAATCGATTTCACAAACAAACAAAAAGATAGAAAAAAATAGAAACGGAATACTACCATTATTATTGAAAGTTTTTAATCAAGATTTATAACACACACACACACACACACATATTTTCATTTTTGGGTTTTTTTTTGTGGAAAGTTTTTCATTTTCTTTTTTTTCAAGTCCATCATATCATTCTATTCTCAGGAATCATCAACAATAGCAGCGACAAAAAAAATCAAGATGGATTACAATGTAATAAATTATGATTATATACATATATTATAGTTTTTTTCTCCACAATGGATTATTCACGACAACAGCATTGAAAAAAAAAATTCATAATGCATATCATGATCACATTTGTAAGAGAGAGAGAGAGAGAAAACAGCAAAAAAAAAATTAATTATTGACAAACGATTATCATCATCATCATCATGTTAAATGATTTTTTTTCATCTCATTGTGACGTCAAAATAATCGATAAATCATCATTATTGGAAAAAAAATTCTGCTCATTTTGTAATAGATTCTATTTTGATCATGTAATGAATTATCATTAGAATGAATCGATTGAATTTATCTTGTTAGTATAAGTGATATTATTTAGAATATTCTTTGGCCAACCAATGAACACAATGTCATGGACAATCATTTTATTTTTTTTTTTTTTCATCCGTGTGTCAAATTCACGATGAAGGCAATAATAAAATAGGAATAGGAATATGAAAAAAAAAATAAATTTCAAATGATGATTATCATAATGATGAAATGATATGTCTGTCTATGTATTATCTAGTCCCATGTCTGGGGCTTTCTTTTATGGTTCAGAATTTTTTTTTCTTCCTTTTTCCCATTACGAATGAATTCACTGTTTCGGATGTCAATCTCTGAGGTTAGAAATTTTATTTATTTGAGAAATATGTGGTGTGTTTTTTCTTTCGTTTTTCATTCAATAAATGATCAAGTCAATAAATGATGAGCTACTTCAATCAGTGTTACTCATATGAAAATGAAAACGATAATTTCGGTTTTTTTCTGATCTTTCATCAAAACCAGAATCAATATTGATCATTGAAGCTCAATTGATTGAATTGATATCACTAAATGGATTTTGCATTAAAAGCCAAAAATAGCACATTCAAATCATGGAATTTTTGCTTTGCTCTCTCATGCAACAGGGTCAATATGGAATTTCGAAACTGTTATGTTGTGAATATGCCAGATGTTTTCATTTCAGGCCAATTGGGTTGCCAATTTTTAGTTTTTTTTCATTTATTGAATGTGGAAAAAAACTTTAAAACAAAAAATATCTGGATGGAATGCGTTTCGTAAACATACACACACACGAAAGATATACATAAATATCCATTTTATATAGAAAAAGATAAAAACGATATCGACGTGCTCTATTATTCCGATATAATCATGTGTATGTGCACAGGTCAAACACAAATGTAAATATCATCATTATTATCGTGGTCAAACGGAAATTTTTTTTTAAAATATCAAGAAATTGAACGAATGTCGGCACGTTTTTGAATGAATGAATCATGATTGAGATTTTTTTTTTGCAAACCATCTGTTTTAATCTAACCAATTGAATGGTAGTTCTGTTGTTTATCATCGTTATTTTTTACATTTAAACATATATAATCTTAATATATAAAACTGAAAAACATTTTTTTTCTCATTACAGAAATTGAGCTTGAAAAAGATTCTAGATTTTAATCAAACTAATCAAACTATATTCATAATTACCATTAATAATGGCTTGTTTTTTGACCTGGAAAAAAAAATTTAATTTGCAAATAAATTCTTCTTCCAATAAAAATTGATGAAGAATGAATATTTTTTTGGGCGTTTAGAAAAAAAAGAAAATTGTTCGATTCCAAAATTCTGTATGGATCTTCTTTTTTTTTTTTTTTTTGATTGTACATTCATTTCGGAACTCAATGACATAATTTTCGATTATCGATTATTGTTAAATTTTCCAATTTTTTTCAATAGAAAAAGCATTATTATTATCAAGTGTTGACAGAAAATTTTTTTTTTTCCTGGTTGAATTTCGTTTATAGTCGGTTATTATTATTATTATAATTTATTATAGTTGGTTTTGGGTTCATCTTTTTTTTTCTCATATTTTTGTTGCTGTTGCTCGGTTTAAGAATATTGCAGAATATATTCTCTTCTATTGTTGTTGTTGTTGCTGTAATAAATGTCAACACCGATAATTTGTACAACACCCGAATGATTATTATTACAATATTCATTTGAACCGAATAAAATATACGAATATTTCATCATGAATACAGACGCACACACAAAAAAAACATGACAAAGAATATTCTATTCTATTTGGAAAATATACAAGAAAATTATACACCTTCTTTTTCCATTCCTTGACGACCGTACCGATCATTTGAATCATTTGAATTTCTCAATCATTCGATCAATATTATTGAATGTTCAATGTTCAATAACAATAATTATGTCGTCATTGAATAATAATTTTATTATTAGTATTTTCTATTTGAAAAAATTCAAACAATAATTATCATTTTCAAATCATTTCATGAAATCACAATATTTTTGTAATCAAAATATAAAACGAATGTTTAATATTTACATATGTTTTTTTGGCATTGAAACACAATGATGATGATTTTTTTTCACTTGAGCTATTTCATTCTTCTTTTGGAATATTCTCTCATTTCCATTTCTATATATTTCGGTTTGATGGGGGTAATTCGATGAAAAAAACAATAACTACAAACAAATTTACCCTTTTGAATAATAATTATTTGATGGGTGGTAGAATGAAAAAAGAAATTTTTTTTGAAAAAAAATATTTACCACAAAATCAACAACAAAAGAGAAGAGAAAACCAAGAAATGGAATTACACTTGGGACCACTGGAATATTGGAGACATTATCATTGTCTTGAATTTGTTTTCTGAATTAGAATCGATTCTCGTTCTCTCCACAGTCGATTGAACTTGGATTCTGTGAAAAAAAATCGTTTGTTTCCGATTCTGTAGTTGTTGTTGTTGTTGTTGTTGTTTAATCGTTGTGTACGACTTCATGGTTGATTAGGATCATGTCAATGAAAAACAACAGAAATAATAAACGAAATGGGTGTTGTCATCTTGTCTTAACCAATTGGATCTTAAATGGTTTTGAACTTGGTTGTTGTGTGATTAGTTTTTTCTTTTGATTTGGGTTTTTAATCGAAATAATAATAATCATCATCATTCGTATTTGATGATTATAGGAGAAGAGAGAAAGAGTGAGAGAGACCCAAACCGCAAATACCCAAATAGCAAATATATGAATATAACAAGATCTATATTTTGATCTGATATGTTTGTTCAACAAAAACAACGACGACGATGATGATGATCATCATCATTCTTTTTCCGGTCAATTAACTTTGATTATACTATATATTTGTTGTTGATATAATAATAATAATCAAAAACAAAAACAAAAACAAGAAAAAAAACAAATGAATGTCATTGCGACCAGATTTTGGGCGTCTTTTTTTCACGCTGAATTGAATGTTTTTATTATTTTTTTATTTTGTTAAAAATCTGAGTCACTGCATGTGTGAGTGACGCACCCATCATCATATCATCATCAAAAGCATCATCATCATATTAGAGAACTTGTTTTGAATTGTTTTATTTGTTTGTTTTTTGTTTTTTATTTCTGGTCAATTCACAAACCATAAAAAAAAATTCTACCATTAACCATGAACAAAACAAAACATAATTCTAATCATCATCAACAACAACAACAACAACAACAGATATGCTGCTGTGGATAATGTTTTTCTTCAGTTAGTAATCTTTATTGTGTGTGTGTGTGTTTGTGATCTGTAAATTTTGATTAAACAATAGTTTTTTTTCTGATTATATAGTAAAATTCAAAGGTACTAGTAGTAGTAGTAGTAGTAGCCATGAGATAAATTATTCCAAATGAAATGATTTTGTTTCGGAAAGAATTTTTCTTTTTATTCTTGTTTCAAGAATAAAAAAAATCAAAAATTCTAAGCTTAATGATCATTTCGTGTGTGTGTGTGTGTGTGTATGCGTGTGTTGGAGTAGTTCATTTGCGAATATAGAATAATAGATTCAAATATATTAACATTTATCAATCATATATTCATTCATGTGTTTTATTTTGTCTTTATGAATAGGTCATAATGATTATCTTGAATGGTGATAAAATTATTATCGATTATAATGATCAAAATCAAATGACCAGAACAACAACAACAACAATAACAACAAGGCGAAAAATTGATTATTATTATGATCGAAACGAAATTGCTAGTGGTGATAATAATAACGATCATGATGATGATCATGATGATCATATCAATCAAAACTAACAATGGTAACATTAAAGTTTTCTGGCCAAACATTTATTTGAATCAATCGTACAACAATGATGATCATATAAAATATTTAAAAATTTTTACCGAAAATTATTATTATTATAAGCCTTGGTATCGTTTTGATTGTGATAATGATAATGCAACTAGTGGCAGACATTCGTGGTAATCAATATGATGATGATGATAATGATAATGATAATGATACGGATAGCAGTGATAATCAATCGATAAAATTAAACCGAATTATTATTAATGATGATGAAAAGAATTCATTCAACGAACGTATTGAATGGAAAAGAATTTTTGATAATTTTATTATTGTTTCTTCAAAATTCTTACACAAAAAGCCTTCTCATCGACAATATATAAATAACATTGTGAAATCATCATCATCAATCATCGTTCATCATCAACATCGTCGTCATCAACATCATCATTATTTCGTTCTGTAAAAACATCATATTTCATCTGGATGATGATTGCAGCTATATTTTGTTTAAATCACATGTCGTCTATCAAATTTTTTCGGTTTGTTTTTTTTTCATGTAAAAATTATAACCAACTTTTTTCTGATTCTTTTTTTTCAGATTGATTGAAGCTAATTATATTAGTCCCGAAACAGTATTGAAAAATGTCATTAAAGAACAACAACAACAACAACAACAACAACAACATCATCAACATCACCATCATCGACACCAAACACATCAATTAAATCAGGATTCATTCAACATAAATCATATTTATCATAATCCATTGAATCTATTGATTGATGGAACTACATCATCATTATCATCATCATCATCATCGGAAACAACAACAAAAACAACAATTGGATCGGCAAAAACTACGTCATCAAATTCTGTTATTAATATTCCACCCATACGAACAATAGTGATTGATTCGATGAGAACAAAAAATATTAACAACAACAACATCAATAACAATAAACAAGAACCGTTAAATGTTGCTGCTGATGATGATGATGATGATGTTGCTGATAATGAACGTATGGATCTTTTGAAAACGGGATCATTAAATAACAGCCATATTCTTCGTGATGATGATGATAATAATAATAATAATGATGATGGTAATTTCAATGGAAAGGATAAAAGTCCAGTAAAAATGAATTTGAATTTCGATGTCGATTCATTTGTACCTCCGGGTTATGATAAACTAATGCCACCCAAACAAAATGGTAAGACAATATTATTATTATCATTTTGAAAAAAAATTTTTTGCCCCTGTTCATTGTATCATCGATGAAATAGTTATTGTTAACGTGTGAAAGTCGAAACGAGAACAAAAAAAAACAAACAAAATACGAACAAACTAAAATTCTGCTTAATCATTCACATTGTGCTGATGTAATGATCCGTAGTTATTATTATTTTAGTTTCAGTTGAACGACGAAACTCTACAATATATATATAGAAATGTGAAAAAAACGAAAACAAAAAAAAATTTTCCGGTAGTTTGGCAGTGTTTTCTGTCGGGTACTCTCACACACACACACACACACAAAAAGCCATCTGGGAGAAGAATATTTTTGTTTGGGGTATTACAATATTGAATTACATCGTTGTTCATGTTTTTTTTGTTCGTTGACGGTATAATAATAATAATGATGATGATTCTAGAAATAGTGATCAATCGATTGACTGAAGGGCAAACTGGCTGACGATCTTAATTACATCCAATAAGGTTCTTATTTTTTTTTTTTTTGAACCATTCTCGATCTTCATTATTATTGAAATTGATGTTTCGATCAATGAACACACAAAAAAAAAGAAGAAGAAAAATGAAGAATAAAAAAAATTAATTTCTAATTGAAAATGATATTAAAATCAACTTTTATATACTGTATGCTGAAAAAACAGCATCCACATACACACACACGATACATTCAGATGGAATGAAAAACCACGTACGAAATATCAAAAAAAAAAAAAAAAATCTTGATGGGCAATCCTTTTTTTTCATTTCGTTAAGCTTCATGCCATTAACATATACACACACACACACACACTGAAGAATGATATCTTGATAAAGAAAAAAAAATTTATAAGAAAAAATCTAACAAAATATGTGTGTTATTACTGATGACTGATGATTTATTCATACGAATGGAAGAGAATTTTTTTTTGATTAAAATATTACGATTCGATTACTTTGTATATGAATTCAACTGAAAAAAATAATCCAAAATTCGTTCTGCTAATCTTTTTTTTTCTATCTCCACATGATTAATTCCTATTACATGTTTAAATATAAGAAGATTAATTCGTCATGAATGATGATGATGATTTTACCAATTCGATTCTGTTTTTGGTTTTTTTTCGATAATAAATTCTCTTAAAATATTCCAAATGTTAACCCATTTTTTTCGGTTACATTTCAAATTCTATTCGAAAACTTTTTTTTTTGTATACTTTAGGACAGCCAACAGTGGTTCGTTTTCATGTCTGGGTACTTGGTCTTGATTCTATTGACGAAGGATCAATGGTATTTATACTTTCTTAATTCCTTGCGTTTTTTTTTTGCCAAAAAAATATTAATTTAAACCATTCTGAATTTATAGACATATGTTGCCGATATATTCATGTCACAATCATGGAAGGACAATCGTTTGATTATACCGGATGATATTGTTTACAATGTAAATACTAGTAATGATCCACGTGGCCCATATCGTTTATTACCATTAACATTTATTGATAAAATCTGGCGGCCAGATTCTTTTTTCAAGGTAGTTTTCTGTTTTTTTTTTTTTTTGATTCATCAAAATCGTTTATTTCGATTCTAATGAAAAAATGAACAAATTATTTATTTATAGAATGCAAAAGAAGTGACCTTCCAGGAAATGACCATTCCTAATCATTATATATGGTAAGTATGAAACACAAACGTTTACAATTGATCGAATTGATGAATCCATTTCTCATATGAATAGATGGATCTCTCTATTAAAAGAAAAAAAAATCACAAAGTGAACACAGAAAAAAATCGAATGTTTACAAAACATGATTGAAATTTGTCTCTCTTTTTTTCTTTCTTTTCCACAATTTTATGTTTTCATATTTTGTACCAATTTTATTTTCATTTCATTTCTATTTCTATATATCGGATAACACTATTGATGAAATCCATTTCTCCTTAACCATTACTCTATGAATCATAGATGGATCTCTCTATTAAAAGAAAAAAAATCAGACAAATTCCTTTTGTTGTTGAAAGTGAACACAGCAAAAAATCGAATGTTTACAAAACATGATTGAAATTTGTCTCTCTTTTTTTCTTTTCCACACAATTTTGATCAATCGATTCCAAGAATCAATTTATGTTTTCATATTTTGTACCAATTTTATTTTCATTTCATTTCTATTTCTATATACAATATAGGCTTTATTCGGATAACACTATTCTATATATGGTCAAGTAAGTTGATACCCATTGTTCCATTGTACAACAACAACAACAACAACATTTTGATTCAATTATTATCTTTTGATACCTTATTAAATATTTTCTACATCCTTAACCATTACTCTCTTTTTTTTACTATATGTTTACCGATTCTAACAGCGACCTGAATCAATTTTCTATGACGATGATGATTCATTTTTTTTTTTCTTTGTTGTTCGTTGTTCAATCATTCTTGTTCTGTAATCTATAGTCTCTTTGGATTCTTTTTTTTCATACTTTGGATTTTATTTTTATTTCATTTTTTGGTTGTTATTTACTCTTAAATTAGAAATAAGAATAATGATAGGGCAGATGTTTTTGGTGGTTGGACAAAATCAATTCCTGTTCTATATGTATATATAGTGGTGTGGAATCTTTGGATTTTCTGCTGATCGAATAATGATGAAAAAATCAGAATTCATTTAAAAAAATTTTTTTTGTTCTTTTTCATTCATAATCAAAGTTGACATTATTCATATATTCATTTGATTTTATTATTTGCTTTTTTTTCTGATGCAAATATTTCAATACTATGCATGGAATTTTTTTTCATTCATCCCTTTAATTCTTTTATTCTTTCATAATTGTTGTTCATCATATCAATGATGAGAATCTGTAGCGTATCCTTATATATGAATCATATTTAATATCATCTCATTAGTATATATATTCAAACAATTTTAATACACTCATACAGTATGTCATTGGAATTTGAATCTGATTTTTTCTCATTTTTTTTCTCAATTTTTCTTTTTTTTTTTTGATTCTCATTCTCATTATTTTACCATACCAAAATATGATCATCATCGACCATCGCACGTTATATATGCAGATTGACATTGTTGCTTTCATGTGCCATGAAATTTCAAACCTATCCACATGATACACAGAATTGTACGATGAAAATTGAATCACGTAAGATGATGATGATGATGATGATGATGATGTGTGTGTGTGTGTGTGATATGATTTCATAATCAAATTATTTATTATACAATTGAATTTCTTTTGTGTTTGTGTTTTTTTTTTGTCTATTTATTTATTCAACAATAATAAAAAATAAAAACAAGTATCGTATACAACTAAAGATTTGATATTTGATTGGGAAGAATCGGATTCATTAGTGGTGGAAGAACACATTGAATTACCACAACATGATCTAATCAATAAAGATATTGATTATTGTACAACTGATTATTCATCCGGTATGGAAATTTTTTTTTATTTTTTTCATTTCAATTTTTATTCTTATCACACTAATATTTTGAAAATTTTTTTTCTCATGCTCATGTTACTGAACTCAGGAACTTTTGCCTGTGTTCAGGTTGTATTCACTATTAAACGTCGAATCGGTAAGTAGTCTATGTATAGATTAGAATAATTATTATGAAACACCCCGAAAAAAAACGACATGCGATAAGCAATGTAGAAATATGTACAAAACAAAAGACATCACTCTCTTTCTCTCTCTCATTGAATGAAAATATTTTCTCGGATCCTGATTTTGTAATACATTAAATTGATGAAAATGGAATTATAAAGTGAATGGGTTTTTTTCTTCTAGTTTTCGTTTTGCATTCACTAGTTTTAATGATGATGATGATGATGATGATTATGATGAAATTCAAACTATAGTTTTAACGGAAATATTGCTGTTAGAAATGATGATAATGATGATGATGATGATGAACACTTTAAATGAGAATTTTATTTCCGATGAAATGATTTATTTTTTTTAAATTTAATATTTTTTCTTCCTTTTTTTAAAAAATTTGAAAAAATTCAGTTTTTTTTTTGTTGTTGTTGTTGGCTATATATTCACATATTGGTAATTTTTTTACTTTCTTCACATATTTCACAGGTTATTATATATTTCATACATATATACCGACATGTTTGATTGTAATAATGTCATGGATATCGTTTTGGATCAAACCGGAAGCTGTGCCTGCTCGTGTTACATTGTGTGTAACATCATTGCTTACATTATCAACACAACATGCACAATCACAGAAATCATTACCACCGGTTTCATATATCAAAGCTATTGATATATTCATGTCATCATGTACGGTATTTGTATTTGCATCACTTATGGAATATGCCTTGGTCAACATTTTAATGGCCGATGAATTGCTCAATGGTTGGATTGGTATTGCTCCGACTGCTTATCAACAGCAACCAACTGCAACCATCACCACACCGACTACCGAAACACGAATAATGGATCCACAGACAAAAACCACAACAACAACTAGAATAAAACCTGGAACACATGATTATGATGATCATCATCGAAACAAAGTGCCCAATCATATATCTACTCATCAACATCATTATCATCCTGTTCGTTGTAGTAGTAGTTTAACAGGATTGGATAAATTGGAATTAGATACAGATTCAAAACAATTTTCGGAACATGAAAATGATGATGTAAGTTATTTACTTAATCGATCGTGTTTGTCAATATTAAAACCAATATAATTCATTTGAATACAGAAAGCAACAAAATCCCGTCATGACGATGAATGTAAATTATCAATGAAATGTCATAAGACTTCCACACAAATGCCTTCATCTATTCTTCGTCATCGTTGTTGTTCAATAATCAATGATGAAAATGGCCATAATGGTCATGATGATAATGATGGCATATTTATTGATAATCAAATTAAACATCAACAACGACGAACAAGTGATCGAAAACAATCATATATTTATGCATTTCCAACACCATCAATTTATGATGATCAGAATTTTTGTTATCGTAGTTGGCGTGTACCACCAATGATGATGAATACAATGACTACGGCAACAACAACAACAACAACAGGTGTAAATATGAATTATAATAATAATGGAAATGGAAATATCAACAACAATAACATCTATAATAACAATAATAGCCATAATCAATATCTTTTACAATCAAAACATAAAAGAGCCTATACTGTTGATTATATTTCACGTTTCATATTTCCAATTTCATTCATTGTTCTCAATATATTTTATTGGACATATTATCTTGAGGTTTGGGAAACGCTTAGTTGAATGTGGAACGAAAAAAAAACGATATCAGTGGATTTTATTTTTCGGAATGCATGTTTTTTTTTTGAAATTCGTTTGATGATCATCATATATGATGAACACTTTCGAATATTAAATGTTGTATAATATAATATAATATAAACAACAAACAGCACACACACACACACACACAATAAGCCTTGAATCTTACACACACACACACCCACGCACACACATTTTGCATAATACACACCTTGATAAATCATAATATAATATAAAAAAAATAGATTGTGACAGATGTTTTTTTTCCTTCATTCTTCATTAAGAAACTTTCCATCATCCATGATCCACTATTTATTTAAATATATAATCAATGCACCGAATTCATTTCAGATTGACTTTGTTCAAAAGTTTATAAGAAAATTGTTTTTTTTTTTTTCATCTTCCAAAACAAACAAAAAAACCATTTGTGAATGTTTTTTTCTCTTCATTCTGAATGTTATGATTATTTTTAAGAATTTAATTCTAAAGAAAAATTTTTCGTTGTTGATTAAAATTTTCAATTTTCCAATCAAAGTATAGTTGAGATGAACACTGATCAATGGATTGTCCGATGACTTTTGTTTCGAAAAATCAAAGAATTGAATTTAAACAAAACAAAAAAAATAATCCAAACAATTATCTCCATCTACCGGGCCCGAATCGAACAACCAAATTGTTTTCGAATACTATTTTGATCCAATTTGGATCGATGACTCAATGGATCCAGTGATGGATGATTAGAATCAATAAAAACATTCGAATTGTTGGATCTGCTGTTTTTATTTGTATTGAGTTTTTTCTTTTTTTGTAATTGATTTTTGTTTTTAGCTTTTATTTTTTATATTTATTCATTCATTTTCATTCATTAATTCATTCATCAACAGAAAAAAACCGATAAATACAAATCAATCATGCAATCATATAATGATCAAATTGATTTGATTTCTATTTCGCGAAATTCAACTCGTATACCTTTCTTCACATTATATTCGACTCTAGATAAATAAAAACAGCAATGTCATCAATTAATCGGACTATGATATTTATCATGAAAAATTATGCAGCCAATAATCATAATCGAAGATTATTATCATTGTCAGCTAATAATTATTAACTATTAATAGCATATTTATATGCATATGTGCTTGAAAACGATACACCTACAATTATAATCAAAGAAAAATGTCCCATACATCCGGTAGGGTAGTGGTCGTAGTCGTCATTATGAAAAAGGACCAGCATTCATAATTAAAAGATCGTTTCAATCGATTTCATCGGCTCGAAAGTATAATTTTAAACGGCTACTAATGATTGCTACATTATTAGCGGTCATTTCGATCATAACGATTGGTCTTTATTTTCCCGATAGTCTTTGTTATACAAAAAAATCGATTTATGATCAAACAGATAAAGTATGGATTTCAAGCAATTATCTCATTCCATCATACAGTCATCGATTATATTCTGGTGATCAGAAATTGATCGAACGTTTGAATATCGATCGAGTTTTGTTGCATAAATTTGGCTATGATTATGAAGATTTTGCTAGATTTAAAGCTGCTAAAATTCTTATGACCAGTTTTGATGACATCATCAAACATCCAAATTCAAGCCAAATGATGTTCCAAATGAACACTAACGATGTTTTAGTATTTTTACACATGCAAAAAACCGGTCAGTAATTATTGAGTATTTATAATATCATTTTCATTTATATTCTTGATAATAGGCGGATCAGCATTCGATCGACATTTAGTACGAGATTTGATCCTTCCACAGCCATGTAAATGTGATTCTAAACGAAAGAAAAAATGTCGTTGCTTTCGACCGGGCACATCAAATAGATATTGGCTTTTTTCTCGTTATTCTATTGGTTGGAAATGTGGATTACATGCTGATTATACAGTAATCGAATTTTTTAAGTTTAAATCTGTAGCCATTTTCTAATTCCTATCCATTTTACTATATATTTAGGAACTAACAAATTGCGTGGATAGAATCTTGAATCAATTGGAATATCAGACCGATAGAATTAATAAGAAAAGAAATTTCTATTTCATGACATTATTACGCGATCCGATTTCCAGATTTTTATCCGAATTCAAACATGTGCAACGTGGCGCTACTTGGAAAACATCTCGTCATTGGTGTGATGGTCGACTACCAACTAGTAAAGAAATTCCACTCTGTTTTCATGGTGCCAATTGGCGTAATGTTTCATTGGATGAATTTATGAATTGTCCACATAACCTGGCATTCAATCGACAAACACGGATGTTGGCCGATCTTAATCTAGTCGGATGCTATAATCAATCATTCATGTCTCGTGAAGAGCGAGATTCAATTATGTTATTCAGTGCCAAACAAAATCTTCGACAGATGGCAATGTTTGGTCTTTGCGAAGAACAATTGGCAACACAGTATGTGTTTGAGAAAACATTCCGTTTACAATTCCGTCGATCATTCATACAGTTTAACCAAACACATAGCCATGAAGTATTGGCTTCGTCAAGCCAATCAACTATACAACGAATTCGTGATTTAAATCATCTTGATATGGAACTTTATTCATATGCCAAACAATTATTTCGTCAACGTTTTGCTACTATTAAAGCTAATGATCCAAATTTTAATGATTATTATCAACATTTGATTACTAATTCTCAGTTGCAATTAAAACGATCGAAATTAGCCAAACCGAACAAATTCATAGAAAGCAATCGACATACTAGTCAATCACAAATAGCAAATACAAATATCAATAATCCAAATGAATCAGATAATCTGATTGAAGATTCACCAAGTATCGATTATGATGATGCTTCACCTACGAATGATTCAAATGATCCAATCGATGATTATTATGTTTAAGAATATTTATATTCAATAGCTCATCCCAAAAAAATATATCCACTTTTGTTTTATTTATTCATTCATTCATTCCATTTAAACGTTTGATGTGAAACCAAGTCTTCCAAGATAAACTAAAAAAAAAAAACAACTAACAACATGCCTTACACAAACGTTAACGAATGGTTGTGGCAAAAAAAAATTTTCTTTTATTGATCCAGATAGTAAGAAAAAACATGTATTCCTGAAATTATACGAAAACTGAAAATTTGATTATTTGTAAGGTAAGTACAATAGTTGCTTTTTTTGTATACAAAATGCAGCATAATTCAGTGAAAAATCGTTATCTATGAATGGTACAAGAGCCGAGCGCGCTCAACAAATTTCGCGCCAACAACAAAAAACACAAGAGAGAGACACACACACACACATGAATCAATACCTTTGATGTTTTTCTTTTCTTTTACAAATTGTTCTTTTTCAATAAAGTCAATTACAAAACATTCGTGTTCGAGTTCACATTCCTGTCCAAAAGATTATGAGACTGAGTTGGTGATCAGAAAATATCATCAATATCGAGCACCATTTTTTCAAAGTTTTTCATTCCTGTCTGAGATTTCAATCCGTGTGTCAACCCACAACAAAACAGTTTCATCATGAGTGCTAACGAAGAAATTTGGCCTGGAGTTGTTATCACAAGAAAATCGTACCGAGCAGCAATAACAAGGGCGTACAATCAATTGAGATCAAATGGTGGCCAATGCCATCGTTGGAGTCAGCAGCCACGCTTCAATCTGAATACGCGGAAATTACATTTACAGTATGGATTTGAATCATGAAGATTGACGAAGGTGATTATATGGAAAAAGATTAATCTCGTCATTGATTTCATATCTCTATATCATAGTGTTGATCGTCAAACATCGCGGCCAAACAATGTCGTTGACAGCTAGAAATCGATGTCAAGTGAAGATCGATTTGTAAGGTAAGTACAATAGTTGCTTTTTTTGTATACAAAAGAAATGATCTCGGAATTGAGCTTGCCAAAATACTATTGATATATATATATTGATATATGATTCAATTCATCATCACTTCATTATTTGTTAAATTATGACATTGAAAGTAAAACACATGAATACATTGATCATTGTATACACTTTTACCAAAAAAAAAAAAAAAAACAATTATCATTACAAACATGGTAGCATCCAAGATTTCACCCAAATACTTTACCAAAAATTTTGTAGATATGATTGAAAAATATTTAATAAATATCTCTTGTTCAATGCAATTTGTGTATAGTAGAAAATGTTTATATTCGAAAATTATTCCATTCGATATAACCAATTAAACAAAGTTGTATATGCCCCGAAAAAAAATCTGGGTTCATCTTGTCATCGATAACCAAAATTATCGTCTAATGATCAATTTGACTTTGCACAAATTGTTCATCTGTTCAATTTTTTTTTCTAAATAAATGTTATTTATTATTAAAATGGGTGTACCTAGTTCAGAAAAAAAAATCTACCAATAAGATCAATTAACACTTGCAATGTTAAGCTGTTTTGAATAAAGTTACAACTACATTAACTATTTGTTCGATTTTAGTCTCTCATATTTAAGTCATTTAAATGGAAATCTTTATTATATCAATTTATCACCAGTAACGTTGCTTATTATTGATTAGATAAATTGTTCTCAATTCATGACATATCATCAAACAATACTGTGCACCCATTTTTGTACCGAGTTTTTGTAACAGTTTTTTTTCAACCAGACTTGTTTTATATTTAAATTGAAAAAATCAATCAATCACATGTTATTATTATTCAAAAACATATTCAAACAAATTCAATCAATTGTCAACCATGACCAAACGAATTGCAATTATTGGTGCCGGTGTTTGTGGCATTACATCTGCTAAAGCTTGTGTTGAACAGAATTTTGAACCAGTTATATTTGAAAAAACTGATTACACTTGTGGCCTATGGCGATATCAAGAAAATCTGGATGAAGATGGTATTGCTTCGGTTATGAAATCAACAGTTATCAATACAAGTAAAGAAATATCGGCATTTTCGGATTTTCCACCACCAATTGAATTGTCAAATTATATGCATAATAGTAAATTGGTTAGTATTTATAATAGTTCTATATAATCAATGAATTTCAAATCTTATCATTTTTTTCTCTAATAGTGTGCATATTTTGATTCATATGGAGAATCATTTGGATTCAAAAAATATGTCCGTTTTCGTCATGAAATACTTTCACTTGAATTGGCTGATGATTTTATCAAAACTGGTCGTTGGAAAGTTACTTATAAAAATTTAAATAATGGTGAACAAACAATGGAAATATTCGATGGTGTCTTGGTTTGTATTGGACATCATAGTAAACCATATTATGCTACATTTCCGGGCCAAGAAAAATTTAAAGGTACAATCATGCATACACATTCATTGAAACATGCTAAAGGATTTGAAGATAAAACTGTTGTCGTTGTTGGCATTGGTAATTCATCATTAGATGCATCAGTTGAACTAGCAACCGTAACCAAACAGGTATGATAAAATTATCAAAATTCTTTGTATCATTTGTTGATTTTTTCTTTTTAAATCATTCATTATAGCTTTATTTATCAACAAGACGAGGAGCATGGATTTCTAAACGTGTTGGAAGTAATGGAATTCCTGGTGATGCTGAATTTATTAGACGTTATGTCAGTTATATTACAAATATTCTTCCGTACAATGTGATTTGTAACATATATGAAAAAAAATTGAATGCAAATTTTGATCATGAATTATATCAACTTAAACCTAAACATCGTGTATTTGCTCAACATGTTACAATCAACGATGCATTAGCTAATCGTATATTATCTGGTGTTGTCGTTATTAAATCTGATATTGAACGTTTCACGGCTGATGGTGTGGTTTTCAAAGGTAAAAACAAAATTCATTGTTTTAGATTTGATTGATTTTTATTGTTGGTTTTTATAATTCATTCAATATGGTTAGGCGAAACTAAAGTGACTAAATGTGATGCCGTAATCTTGGGAACTGGCTATCGATTTGATTATCCATTTCTTTCGCAGGATATTTTACCTGTAATTAACAATGCTACCAGGCTTTATAAATTTCAATTCATACCTAATATAAAACCGGCTCATACATTGGCATTTATCGGTTTGATACAACCTATTGGAGCTATATTTCCGATAGCTGAATTACAAGCACGATGGTATGCACAGCTAATGTTGGGAAATAAACGATTACCTACAAGTACCGTTATGAATGCTGATATTGATCGACGTCTGGTTAAAATGCATAAACAATATTATGGCAGTAATCGTCATACAATTCAAGTTGATTTCATACCATTCATGGATGAATTAGCTACTGAAGTTGGCTGTATGCCGCCGGTGTGGAAATATTTGTTTACTGATCCAAAATTATTTCGTACATTATTAATGGAACCATCAGTTGCATATCAATATCGATTGGTTGGACCTAATTCATGGAAAGGAGCACGTGATGCCCAAATACATGCCATCGATAGAATACAGACAGCATTGACTACGAATAAAGTGTATGCCAAACAGAATAAAACACAATCAATATCATCATCAATACCTATGACCATATTTGTAACATTTATGGTTTTTTTAGCCATTATTACCTCATATATTCGACATTTGTTTTTTCTACAACAATAATGTTACCAATGCATACACACACACAGAAATATTTTAGCATTCTATTTTTCTAATATATTTTTAAAAAAAATTCCTATACAATAATAAAATAATAAATTAGCTAGGGTACTGTCTGTGAATCCATTTAAAAAAAAATTAATCCATTAAATAAGCTATATATAAATTTTTCTTTTCTGACTTTTATCATCATCATCACTTTAATGTCCAATAAAAAAAACTTGTATTACATAATAACAGCAGAATCCATTTGGTTAATAATATCCATCAAGTATTTTCATTCGGAAAAAAACGATTTTTTTTCACTCTTGTTTGTCGATTTCACAATCGATGATATTAACAGTTTAATAGCAATAATAATAATCTTAATATAAAATAAAATGAATGGAAACTTGACTTGACAGATGAAAAAAAAACATACAAACATAAACAATGAGTACAATTGAATTCTTAATAATATAATAACATGTGAAAATGAATTTCTTGTTTTTTTTTCTCTTGCCTGACAAATATATATATTATATATCATTTCATCTACTATTGGAAACATGTGATCACATTAAACGCAATCAAACTCGAAATAAATGATCATCAAATACACGTTTTAGACATTGAACAAAATTTATTAAAATAGAATAAAATTAGATGAAAATGAACGGCGAAATAACGGATCCCAATGTTCAGTCTGTCTATGGTTTATATACCAAAAGAATAAAGAAGCAAAGCATAAGAGATTGCCAAAAATAAAGCAAAAGAAATAATAAGAGGGAAAATAGAAAATATAATTTCATGACCTATTTAATCATTGCCAAATTCTTGAAATATCTTCAAAAATAAGCTAATTAATGTCACCTTCACTTCTTATTGTTATCTTCACCCATATTCATTATTTCAATCCAAATATGGTAACCAGAAAGTAACAAGTGAAATAAATGGGAGTGGATGCTTGGCCATTACATCCCCCCACTCTTTGACGGAAATTAGGTCGGAAATAAAAGAGCAAAGAAGGAAAAGGAAAAGGAAAGTGTATGATATAGCTTATTTTCAAATGTATCAGTTGAACTCTTGCTTGTTTCATTTTGGTTCACTATGTCTTCTTCTATTTTTACCAAAGGTGAAGAATTGTTTGTTTCATTATTGATCATTATTAATTATTACCAATTTTTCGGTATATGACATATTCTTCTCAATTAATTTTAATTGAATTCAATTATTTAATCAAATAGATCAATTGCAATGAAATGATCATGTCAGAAATTATTGTTCCAATAATTTGAATTTCTTTAAAATATTGATTATCGATTTTCCACGCTCTTCGTTGATCATCATAGATTCAACTTTTCAGAATTTTCAAATTACTTTGATGAATCAATTTATTAGATTCTTCAGGTTTCAAATTCAGGATTAATTTTTTTGATGTTGATGATTTATTTATTTTCAATTTCATGGTTTTGATTGTCAAAATGGACAGGAACTTTAGATTTCCTCGTAGTTAATTTCAAGATAGGTGAAAACTTTAAGTTTGTTCATGGTTATAATCGATTTCGAGGATATTGATTTGATAACTGGATAACAACTTAAAATTGATGTTTCAGATGGTTTTTTTTTAATGAAACACTTCAGTCATTCAGTTCGTTGAATTAAACGTTTTTTTTTTTTTAAATTGAAGTATCCTTCTCACAAACATTGATTATTCCATTATCATTCATAATCGTCGTTATTATTGACGAAACAATAATTGATGACAATAAAGTTGTCGTTGTGAACTTTTGTGAGGGTGTTGATATTGTTTTTGATTTGGAAACATATTCAGGAATCACTTTTTTTATATGGATTATGAATTTAACAAAACTAATGATAATGATGATAGTGATGGTAAATAATCCACTTGTTTTGATATTTTGTAAAACAATTCACAATTATGATTGAAATAGCATTTTATAAAATTATCACGATTTTTATCAATTTTGAAAATATTGTTTATAAATTCTTCATATGACCAAAGTTTGACTTTGATAATTTGGATCAATTGATTGATTAAATTTCGAAAAATGATTTTCAAATGATTTTAAATCATGACCAACATGATTAATCATTCTTTTCCAAAATTTCTGCTTTAACATTGTGGATAAATTCCAAGATCGTTTGAAAAATATCTTATTCAATATCACTGAACAAAACAGAACAAAATTTTAAATTTTTGATGGTGATGATATTAAATCAAATGATGATGATGGATAATTTCAACAATTCAATATTTGATGAATATAACTCATATTCTGGATTGAAATAACGATTTCAATCATTATTAATCCAAGATTTAATATCTATCATTACGATAGATCAATAATCTTGAAAAGTAAATTGATGAAATTAATGATGAATCATTCACGATTAGTTTAAAACAAAGATGAGCACTCAACAATTTTTTTTTTTTTCTTCTGAGAATGTTCAATGATTTCAGAATTTCTTCAATGGTATCCAACAATTTATATTTTATCATTATAGACTGACTTCGAAAAATCGGTAGTCACCAATGACAACAATACATTATTAATTTCAAAATATAACGTATAGTGAATTGTATTTTTGAATCGTTATATTTTCCATTATCAGGAACAGATTCCATAAACAATACTAAAAGAAATTTGAAATGGATATATTCCATTAAATTGAAACATGTCATTATCATCATTTTGATTATTTTTCATAATAGCTTTTGACACAATGTGGTAAAAAATGCGAAAATCAATGTCCATGTTGATGATGATGATGATGATTGTGATTGTGATTGCATCAATGGCGTTGATGATGATGATGATGATGATCCAAATGTATTCTCATCACTATAACGAATGTATAGATAGCCATCATCATTATCTTGATATTGACGATATAATTCTCCAATCAAACATCTATATATATATATAGATGTAGTGTAATGAGTATAGATCAATAAAAAAAAGAAAGAATAAATTAATGTAAAGAATTTCATTCTTGTGAAAATACACAATATCAAATCATTAGCAATGTCCATATGCAATCTATATGATAATTTTGGTGATTTTTTTTTTTCTTCTTTTGTTCATCATAATAATTTATTATCAATTTGTCTAGCTGTTTATTGTATACATGATTTGATTGTATTTTCCCTTGAGTATTAAAGCTGAAAAATTCATTCATTTATTCATTCATATAGATAGATAGATAGAATATTTATATCTATATTATTCTGTTCTTAAATGATTGTTTTACTTACGATGCATGTGGTAATGTACGATTGACAATCAGATATATGGCACGATTTGATGATGCCATTACATCGATTTTATCTCTTAATATCCATTGAAATTGTCCAACAGTACAATCATATGGTACAAGAAATTTATATCGTTTTTTATCTTTCATCATGGTTGTTGTTGTTGTTGTTGTTTTCAATGGAGAATAAATTTTATTCTTCTTATTAAAATTCATTATTGATCCTAGATTTTTTTTTGAATTTGGTTTAATAATAAAATTCTTTGGAGTTGTTTCCAATTTCTCGACAATAACCGGTACACGACCAGGAAAACGATGTAAAATATTTCGACACAATTGCTGTTGTCGACGTTGTTTATCTGTCATGAAGAAAAAATTTTTTTATTAAGTTAACAAGAAATACACAAAAAAATTTCCAGTAATAATTTCTTACAAAATTCATCTGATGATGATATGGGTGATGATAATAATGGAAATTCTTTTGAATTATCGTTATTATTATTATTATTAGAAATTCCCGTATTTTCAATGGTTGTAATGGTATGATTTTTTTCCATTGAATGTAAAGTTGTTGAATGACGCCAGCTCATTGCTCTCTTTCTCGATAATTGAATGAACAATCAATATTTGTTTATTATTTTTTTTTACATGAAAAATTCCGAGAATATTTAATTATAATCATAAGTTTATTTATGGAATTATAATATCAAAAAAAAACGATACTCAATCACAGGTATAATGATGTTGATTATAGATTTGGAATATTAAATTAAATTCAATCACATCACACACATAAACACAACGATGATGATTGATAGGATGGATAGATGGATGGATGGATGGATGGATTTTAACAGAAAAAAAACATTTCTGTCAAATCAATCAATCAAAAAAAAAAAAAAAACAAAAACAAAAACAATCATTTGTCAAACAAACAAGCTGAAAAACGTAAAAAAAAACATCAGAAGCACATTTGATACTTGAGATTTATAATATTTATTTATTTTTTCTCTGTATACATTATATATCGTTCTTTTTTTCTTTCTTTGCATAGAAAAGCTATACTGTATTTCTGTGAAAATGAAAATTTTTTTTTCTTTTTTTTTATCGACAGATGGATTGATCGACTTGATGTGTGTGTGTGTGTCTGTAATATATACAATATATGAATGTTTGTCGAGTTTTGATTTTGTTGTTGTTGTTGCTGAAACAGGATTCCAAAATTAAACAAATGGCCTAAACACAGTGAAACATCATCGTTATTATATTAAAAGAGAAATTCCTTTAATTTTTTTTCCAAATAAACAACAAATGAGAAATATAGAAAAAAAATATTGAATTTGATAATTGGATGAAATCTTTAGCAAATAATTCCTTTTTTTTATCAATCTGGTTTTTTTTCAAAGTTTATATTGACATCGAGATTTGTTTTTTCGTTTCCTTTTTTGGTATAGATCATTAGCAAATAGTACACGTATCACATCGGGGATAATGGCTAGAGATTAGATTTCTATTTTTTTTCTGGATCAAAATGATGATGATATATATTAATTATTGTTCAAACAGAGAGAAAAATTTGTTACAAACAAAAAATTTGATATGAAAAATAATTTTTGAAAACAAAAATAACACACACACACACAACCACAAATCACGTAGGTCTTCTTTACTGACAGTTGGATTTTGGGCTTTCTTTTTTTCTTTTTTTTTGTCTATATCATCGAATGTTTGTATGGTTTTTTTTATCATAGACAGAATTTTTTTATGCTTGTCAAATTGGCAATTCATTCAAGTGCAGTTTAGGTTCAGTACATGAATAAAAAAAATTTTTTTCCCGAATCTGATTCTGATATATCATCATATTTAACATTTAAATCACTTTTTTTTAAGGATTCTTGATAGATGATTGGGGGAAAGCAGGTAGGCAAGAGAACAAAAAAAATTCAAACGAAAACCTAAAACTACATTTCAATATCAAATCAAAGAATTTGGAATAAATTTCGGAATTTGATGATGATGATGATGATGACATGAATGTTATTTGTAGAGAATTTGTATAGATTTGTGGTTTTTTTTCTGTTATACTGCTGCTTCAAGGTTTAAAACGATTTGTCGTCATTGACGACATTGAAACAAAAATTGCCTCATTCTTCACTGTTTGTTTTCATTAACGTTACAAATTTCATTCCTGATTCAAATTTCAATGAATTTCAATGATGCACACACACACACATATTCTAGATTATATATGAAATATTGAAAAAAGATCATCGATCAAATAATTTATTTATTGCAATACGCTATACGAATAAGATCATTTCTCATTTATTTACTTTCTCACAATTTTTTTTTGTTTCATAAGCAATGTTTCTATATATGGTGGTGGTCATTACATGATTTTCTGGATCAAAATGATGATGATGATGATGACCAATTGTTATTTTCAAAATCATTACTAATGTACAATTGTTGATGATGATGGTGATGATCATCATACGAAAGATAGAGAGAACATTAACGAAAATCATGAAAAAAAATGTCGGTTTATTTGAAAAATAAACGAACAAACAAACAAACAAACAAAATAATTCAATAGTCCATTATAATGATTATGATGATACTGAAAAAAAGTATCCGTGCAAAATAACAATTTAAGTGTGTTTGTGTGTGTGTGTGTGTGTGTGTGATAAAAGCGAAAAAATCGATGAACAATGGAATATTAGTATATAATGATATATGAATGAATACAATGGTTACAGTTGAAATATCGGATGAAGATTTTTTTTTTATTCTTTCCAATCCTCATTCATCATTTGTTATTGTTATTGTCGGTTAGTTACCAAATTGAAGTGGAAAAAACCATCATTTATGATTTATTTGTTTGATCAAAAAAAAGGAAAGGAAAAGATTTGAACTATAGTATTTTTTTTTGGGTGATTCTAAACAAAATCATTTGAAATATATTTTACTGTTGTTGGCGGTGGTGGTGGTGGTGGTGGGCAATAGATTCCATTGTCATCAAGGAATTCTTCTTTCATTGTATTTTTAATAATAAATAACATCGTTGTTCATCGAACATTAAATCTCATTTTATATCTGGTTTCCATGGTTATTGTTGTTTTGATTATAGATTGAGAATGAAAAAAAGATCAGAAATGGAATGAATTATAATGCCTAGCAAAATCAATCAGATTGATTGGACATCGGAGTGTTATATCTATGCGTTACCTGGGCTCACATTAAAAAAAAAAATTTCAAATTTAAAAACATCGAGAATAGAATCCAAGTTAAATATGTTGAATAATTAATCGATTGTCATGAAAATAATACCGGGAAAAAACACAGAAATGACATCAATTAGTCGAAACTTTATAAATTTTGATATAGTAACATTTGAAAAATAACAACAACAACAACAACAACAGAACATAAATTAATTTTTTATCATTCAACTAATGAAATTACATGATTCACATATTATATTCATTAAATGGAATTAATGTTATTTTGGACAAAAAAAAACCAATCATTCATTTACATTCATTTGGAATTCAATTGCTTTTACTGTTGTTGTTCAATATTTTAGAAATTCCATTCATTTTTTGTTTTTGGCCACTCATAATCATCAGACATTTTATTTTGGTTGTCAACAAATCAAAAATATTATATGATGACGATGATGATAAATATTGAACTCCCATCTCTTCACTTAACTTGTTTGTCTCAAATGAGGCGGTTCAAAATTTATGATTAGTACATATTCATATATTTGGAATTCGACGACAAACATGTTGGAATTTTTTGTTGTTGTTGTAGATGAATACAAAAAAGCTCGAAAAAAATGCTTTCTATTTTCGGGATGATCATGTTGATGATGACAAGAATCTAATCATTTGATTAAACTCAATTAATCTAATTGAGATGGGATGAGAGAATGAGAGGAGAGAAAAAACATGACGAATTTCCGCATAGAATGAATCGGATAGTTTTTTATTCTGTCCAATGCAAAATTAAATTTGGATTCCATATCAGATGGAACAAAAAATTGTTTTTTTTCGGTCAAAGAATTTTTTTTTCGTTTATTGATTAATTTCTTAACAATGCAGTGTAATATGCGAGTCAAAAAACCAATAAAGGTAAGTCAAAAGTTTGAAATTTAAAAAATTTTTGAAAAAAATGTGTACTGATAATGGAAAAATAAAGAAAAAATTCTTTGGAAAAAATCTCTTTACATTCTTCTTCTTTTTTTCGTAATTGAATTGAAAAAAATAACCACTATTTTGAATGCAAACATCAATTAAAATCAAGTGGGAAAAAAATCAAACTTTCAAGTGACAAATTTTTCCAATTTCAGAACCAGTGAAGAAAGAGCAAACGAAAAAAAAGGAATTTATAATCAAAAAAATTGTCCTAGAAACGTTTAAATAAATTGAAAAAAAAATCAAATCAAATTCATGAATTTCATTTTCATTGATCATCACATTATTCTGACATTATCAATTTCAAATGATTATTGTTGATGATGATTTTGATGAATGATGATTGTCTATGCAAATGTGTTTTTGTTTTTTTTTTTTGGTGTGTATGTGTGTGTTTATTTGCTCAATGAAATCTATTTCTATTCAAATATTCTTGATTCTTTTTCTTTATATTTAAATTCTTTTTTTTTCATTTTGTCTTCTGACATGAAGTGTCAATGCGTGTATGTATGTGCATGTTGTGTGGTTCCTATCGATTTCAATATTCATGATTCATTCAAATTGAATTTACTTACAAATGTAATGGTGGAAAAAAAATGTAATCACACATGCTTGAATATAAAATGATAAAAAATGAATCCGATTCTTATTACATTCACGTTTATTCATTTACACGCAGTAAAAAAATTCTCAACTTTAGATCCCAATTTCATTAATTTTTTTTTTCATCATCATCGTACAAAAATATCATCACAACCAACTAACTAACTAACTAAACAAACAAACCAAGACATTGTAATTTGACTGACTGAGGGTATTAGTAATTTACATATTTTGATTGTTAAAAATTTTTCTTTACTTTTTCCTTCCAATCTCAAATCCATTCATTCATTCATTCATTCAATTTTACCACGAATGAATTTCATCATTAAAACGTTTTTTTTCCCATTCTCATCTTTCACAATTCATCATCAACATCCTTCATTTGAATCAAAAGAGGAAAAAAAAGAATTTCTATTTTGTCAGCTCATTTTTTGAATTCAATTTTTGTTTACATTCATTTTCATTGATGATGACAGCAACAATAATAATAATAACAATGGCCATACAAAGTATAACAATGGATATGATGGGACAAAAGCAAAAAGTGAGAGTGAGTGAAAAAAAATTCCAATGAAAATGTGCATGATGGTTATGAAAGAAAAATAGAATAACAACAAATTCGTTTTTCACGTTTTTTGTTTTTCTTTTTCATCATCATTGGAAACATGTGAACCAAATGAAAAAAAAAATGAAAAAAAAATTTTAATGATTAATCAACTGATGAAAAGATTGAGTTTTTACAGTTTTTGGCCAAAATAAAATTGATTTGAAAGACAACAACCATTTTTTTTTATATATTTATATAATCTGGTCAATAACTCCATATTTTTTTTTTTTTTTCTGTTGAAATTTAACAATTTGTTTTGTCACACTCTCAT